TTTTCTTGTCCAACACCAGGACTGAATCCGGGACCTTCTGGTTAGTGAGTCATCACTGCATGAGCCACCGTGTCTCCCCTGTGTAGCGCCGTTGTTCGGGCAAAATATCCCTAATAGGTCTCTGTATGGTCACCAATGATTACCATTACCCTAGCACTCGTATGGTGTATGCCCTTCTTCATTAGCCCAGTCGGAACAGAACGGTAGGGATTTCATTTCATGACTCAAAATAAAGTAAACCCAATTCAACTCTAATTTTGACCGGAATAAAAGAAATCCTCTAATTCTTTGCATTTAAAAATTCTTAAACAAGTATAGAAACCTGTTAAAAATATCTTGATATTAATAATTACAAATAAAGGTTTGTGTCACGATATTTACTTGAAGTACATGACTTAACTTCAACAAGGCTTCGACTAATATAAGATATACAACTTGCTTAAAATAACCAACTTTAATTAAAATAATAATTGTTCAGCGATTGAAACAAATATTTAAATATCACTCTGTCTTGTCAAGAAGTTTACACAATATAAATTTAAACTTTTATGTCTTCAGGTAACTGCCAAACTGATCGTCAGTCAATATTTGGTTGTCCGTTATTGTATCACTGAGAGGCGTGACATCGGGGCGAGTTCATATGCTCCCAATATTAACTTTTTTACAAAAAATTTCAAATTATTGAGAGAGAGAAATGGGGTTTAACGTCCACTCGACACGAACTAGGTCATTTCGGGACTAACACATGGTTTAATTTTATTTCAATCATTCACTTGCGTGTAGGGGTCTTTAGCAGTGGGAGGAAACCGGAGGACCCGGAGAAAACCCACGAGGTTGGACAGGCGACCCTACTCCTTGTCACATACCAGGGGGGAATCGAAACCCCGCCAGTTAACTCAATAACAGACCCTATGATACAGCGCGCGCGTGCTAACCAATCGGCCATCCAAACCCCCCAAATTATTAAGAAAAACCCCAAAGGTGTTGGAAGTATATCTTTAACTTTATTTCTTTTGGAAATTAAATTCTAAATGAAATGAAATGGGGTTTGATGTCCTACTGTTTGCGCCGAACTGGGCTAATGAAGACGGGCATACTCCATACAGTGTGCTAGTCAGTCAGATGGATGAAAAAACCGAGGTTCCGTGTACACATTGGATGCACGTAAAAGATCCCTTGACAGTTATAAGAGTAGGCTGTAGTGCCGCTGTCCAGGCAAAAAAACAGTTTATATTTTGACCTAAATTTTATCTGCTTTAATAACCCCATTTTTTATTGACCTAAATCATTAAGTCCATATGTGCTTTTAAAAAAGGAGAAGAGTCTAAGGGTTTTATAACCACCAGACCAAGAAAAACAAATATTAATGCCATCTCGGAGAACTTTGTCACGTTTTTTATCTTCCAGCTGAGAAAGAATTCCGTCATTAAAGTTATATGATAAATTGCCCGTTACACGATCACGTCTGGAGGCAATCACGGCTACTTCCTACCTTCACAAGTAGAAGATCAGATTTGGTTCACACAAAATCAATATTACAGTAGACGGGATGAATGAAAAAAAAAAATTATTTCACGATTTTTTTTTTGTCCCTTTGCTCGTTTTGTTGGCATGTGGAACATATAGACAGTGTATGTTTTGAGTATATAAACACCATTTACATATTGACGACACTTGAGTCGCTTTTCCAGTTCAATTCAGGAAATTGATCCATTTTGCGAGATCTACGGAGAGTGCCATAAACCAATTTTTTTAAAGCGAATCTTTCAAATGACTTTATTCACCTGAAAGACAAATTAGATTGTTGTTCCAGTTCCACTTTTTATTCTGACCTAATTCAATCTAATTAAAACACAGATCCTATTTCGTTTCGTTTTTATAGTTCAAAATTTCGTTTTACTTGTCTTTACTACACTAGGATCTGGAAGAGTTGTTATCATTGACTTGTTCTGAATGGTGTGAGGTACTATAGCCAATGAAACGGTCTGTTACGGTGAGCTTTAGGTGTGTTTTGCACGGAACTGTGGGTATAATCCACTAGTAACATCAATGCTGATTAGTTAATCAAATATCAAAACATCATAGGGTCAAAAGCTGCTTGTATGACCTATCGCAACAAGCGGTCAGATCTCCATGTAGTAGAGGCCATCGAAAGTATAAATAAACGAAATGAAATATAGATCTGTATTATAATCAGACTGGAACATAATTCCAAATATATGACAACATAGGGTCAAAAGCCACTCGTATGACCTCTGACGAGACCTATCGCAACAACTGGTCAGATCTCCATGTAGTAGAGGCCATCGAAAGTATAAAAAACCGAAATGAAATATAGATCTGTATTATAATCAGACTGGAACATAATTCCAAATAGTCGTACCTCATTGTTAGCCGTCAACTTCTCATTTCTGACATTGGGGAGTTGAATGGCCGAATGGTTAGAGCGTGTGTGTTGTATCATAAGACATTGTGTCAACTGGGCCCTGTTTCTCGAAATCTTAATTAAAGATAAAATCCAAATTTTAGTGGATACTTCAATTTTGATGGGATAAGCACTAAAATCAACCTGATATTATCCAATTAAATTCCTAAAATTTGGATTTTATCTTAATTAAAATCTCGTGAAACAGGCCCCTGGCCGGGCCTGGCGTGGTTTTGATTCCTTGGTTGTACGTGACAAAGAGTAGGGTCACCTGTCCAAACCATATGTTAGTCCCGAAATTACTTAATTTGTGTCGAGTTGTCGTTAAACCCCATTTCTCACTCTCTGTTTTTACTCGTTACTGACATATTGCAAACCAGATTGGCCATTCATATACAGAACCATGGGATCCAAGAATACAAAATGAATTAAATTAAATGGGTTGATGTCCTACTTTTCTGCACCAACTGGGCTAATGAAGATGGTCATACAGTGTGCTGTTAGGACAATTTTGTCTGGAAACTGTTGTTTCATTTCTTGTCGACTATTATGTACATGCCAATGTGCACATGGAACTGCATTTTCCGTCCCATCAGAATGACTAGGCAGCTGTTTTTATCAGGCCCTCTTTCCTGCACTGTTTAAAACTAAGATTTTTGGCCCCATTCGAATGTCTAAACCATGGTTCCTTGTCTGGTTCTCAAAGGGGATACAATGGAAACTTTCACACCACTTTTTTGGTTCACCCGAATGAATAGACACTGTTCCTTGCCTGGTTCTCCGTCCTGCACCACTGACATGCACCTATAGGACTCCCTGGTTGGTGTGCTAGCGACATGTTCACCGAGCAACCGTGGATACCATACTTAAATGAACATTTGTCTTCAAGTGGTTGAATTATACATAAATACAGAGTAGGAAGAATTTAATATCACAATATAAGTGTGCATTATTATTAACTTTGGTTGTTACGGTTACTTATTTTAATAAGTAATATTGATCTGTGCCCTTGTAAAGAAACCGATAACTTATATTATTAAGTAGGGTAATATTAAGTTGTGTTTTATACGAGTTCCAACAAGAAATAACTGATATTTAGAAGTAGAATGATATTCAAGTTCACCCATAACAGATGTAATTGGATTTGTGAAAAAAATTACACGTTATTGAATTCGACTTATGTATATTTATTCTAAATATCTTGATGAGTAGAAATTACATGTTATTGAATTCAACTTGTGTATTTATTCTAAATAATCTTGATGAGTAGAAATTACATGTTATTGAATTCGACTTGTGTATTTATTCTAAATAATCTTGATGAGTAGAAATTACAAGTTATTGAATTCGACTTGTGTATATTTATACAAGTAATTTGAGATTGATGGGCAAAGTTGTTTAAAGGTATTGATCATCATTGGCCTATTTCGAGTGGTTTAACAAGCAGGGTTATGTTGGTATGGTGTGGTGCGGTGCTGGGGAGGTTGTGGGTTGTGATGTGGTGTGTGTGTGTGTGTGTGGGGGGGGGGTGTTGCTGGTGGGTGGAGGCTGTGACTGGTGGTGGTGTGGTGTGGTGTGGTGTGGTGCTAGTAATGTGACTGATTGTGTGGTGCAGGTTGTGGTGGGGTGGTGTGGTACAGGGGAGGTTGTGGCTGGTGGTGGAGGTTGTGGCTGGGGATGTGGTGGTGTGGTGTGGTGCTGAGCAGGTTGTGGCTGATGGTGTGGTGGGTGGAGGTTGTGACTGGTGGGTAGAGGTTGAAACACAGTCACCATTTGATGATTTAATTACAAAATGGTGAATTAAGGCTGAGTCTGGAATAACAAGGAGATGTTGATTGAAAGAAACTTCTATAATAAACGTCTAATCTAGAGAGAGAGAGAGAGAGAGAGAGAAATGGGGTTTAACATCCACTCGACACAAACTAGGTCATTGAGGGACTAACATACGGTTTAATTTTATTTCAATAATTCGCTTGCGCGTAGGGGTCTTTAGCAGTGGGAGGAAACCGGAGGACCTGGAGAAAACCCATGTGGTTGGATAGGCGACCCTACTCCTTGTCACGTACAACCGGGATTTGAAACCACGCCAGTTGACGCAATGACAGGTCTTATGAAACAGCGCGCACGTGCTAACCATTCGACCTCCCGTCTGATCTAGAATGAAGGACTGTTCTACACACATGTAAACAAGATGTTAGTTTAAGAACATCGTTAAAGACTAGACACATTATCAATCTGATTAATATACAGATCTACTACCAGTTGTAGTGGAAGGTTGTGTCAGAGATCATACAAGCGACTTTTGACTCTATGATGTCAAAGCTTTATTCACTATGCCCACACTGGAAGCGAACCCAACATCTCCTGTAGGCAGAACCTTATTCGAATTCACTATGCCAACACTGGGAGCGAACCCCTGACCTCCTGTAGCCAGAGCCTTATTCAAGACCTCCTGCGGCAGAGCTTTATTCACCGTGTCTCTGCCGCTCCCAGTTACTGTGAAATAGGCTGGTTACCATGGTTACCAGTAACAAAAGAGTTCATTTTATTTAATTCTGTTTTTATTTACTTTCAGATCTAAACAGCTTATTAAAGATGCAATATTGGATAATGACTTCCTTAAAAACCTTGATTCAACACAAGTCCGTGAGATTGTTGATTGCATGTACGATAAAAAGATCCAGGAAGGCCACTTTATAATAAAAGAAGGCGAATCCGGGAATCATTTATATGTGTCAGCAGGTAATTAAGATCTTTTTATGTTTGATTAACCGTTTACTATAAAGCAGTGATTCTTAACTAGTGTGCCAAGAAATTTTGAACGGCACACAAGAAAATGTGAAAAAAACAAATGATCACAACTGAATATTCGCGGGTGTCTACTGATAAGTTCATAAGTTTTTCTTTATTTTGTCTCTGTCTATGGTTGTATTCTGTCTGACTTAGAATGTGTTTTTTTTGCAAAATTCAAATATTTTTCATATATATTTAGTTAGGTGTGCCAGTATTTATCCGTGTGTTCCAAGGTGTGCCATTGACAAAAAAGGTTAAGAACCACTGCTATAAAGGGTTAGCATTTGGTGCATGTAATCATTGATTAGTACTTGGTATGTGCTGATTAGTACTTGGTACGTGTTATTTGTACTTGGTACTTGATTAGCGCTTGGTATATGTTGATTAGCACTTGGTACATGTTGATTAGTACTTTGTACATATATATATTGATTAAATCCAGTACATTCCTTGAAGGAAATTTGAGTAAAGTGACAATATATTAATACTGATACATCCCAGGACAGACTGATGTTCCCTAGACTGTCTCAAACCACCCAAGATTGGTGAATAGCTTTCTGTAATATAGAACCATTTAGGGGATCACGATGGGTACGACGCTGGCTCGCTAGCCTGGAGGTCGGGTGTTTGATCCCTGCATTGACCGAGAAAATTCATCCAGATTTTCCGGCGTGGTTCTCCGTTGTCAGTGATGCAGGACGGAGGGCCTGACAAGGACAGCTGTCTAGTCGTTGAGATGGGACGAAAAACGAAGGTCCCATGTACACATTGGCATGCACGTAAAAGATCCCTTGACAATTGGAATTTGATATAAGAGTAGGCCGTAGTGCCGCTGTCCGGGCAAAATTTCCATCTTTGCGCACTGTATGGCATATGCCCATCTTCATTAGCCCAGTTCGGAGTAGAACAGTAGGACGTTAAACACCATTTCATTTCATTTCATTTTATAGAACTATTTAGTAGTTTGTGTGGTCTAGCTCTAAAGGGTTAAGCTAGTAGTGAGCATACTTTGTGTATTATTGCCCCTGATTGTATGAAAAATCACGTTTATAGCTTGTGGACTCTCTAGGTTTTGATGAAAATTAAAATGTATGTTTCCAACCCAAAGATCTTGATTAATTATACACTGTAACTCGGGCATGATTTAATCTTGTGTATTTAGCGCTAATTTATTTCACATTTGTTTAATATCAAATCTTTGTTAAAAAAAACTGTGTAAAAATTGTTTAAAATCACCCCAAATCATCTAATTTGTACTCTTGTCTAGTTTAAAGCTGACCGTTCAATTTTGATAACGAGTGTCCAATTTACAAGTATTTAATTTCTCGATCACTTTTAAAAAATAAACATTTCAATTGATTATTGATGTATAATGATTAATTTTTGAACAGTGGTCAGGAAATTAAATACTTGTAAATTGGACACTCATTATTAAAATTAATCAGTCAGGTTTAATCTCGACATGAGTACAAATTAGATGTTTTTTTTGCGATTTTAAGCGATTTTTATGAATTTTTAAACAAGGATTTGATATTAAACGAATGTGAAAGAAATTAGCGCTAGATAAACAAGATTAAATGATATGATAGGCGAGTTCAAATTTTGTGAAAATCGGATAGAAACTTCGCATCGAAATGGCCATTTAAGTTAATAGTGTAAAAGTATGTAATGTCAAGGTTGTCGACCCTGTAGTGGTCACATATTTTTATCGAATTTTGATGAAACATGAAATATAGGTTTATATCCCAAAGATCTTGGTTCCTATCGATATTGTGCTTAACTACAGAGCTAGACCAAAAGTCATTTATTCTCCAAACAAGCAACAACACTTCTATCAGTGAATCCAGGAACCAGATTGTCAAAACTGATGGTGCTAATGACTCAAGCACAGATTCAGGCTTTGTCAGGCACTAAACCTCGGGTGCCTGTCATTTTGTCCGGCACTGATTTGTCCTTTTTATTGATACTATTAATACATGTCTGGCACTAAGTTGAAAATGTCAGGTACTATTTCATTAGTGCCCGACATTTTGTCAGGTACATATATAACCGTTATTTCCAGACCTGCTAATGAGTTAAATATAGTTCTGAAATGAAATGAAATGGGGTTTAACATCCTACTGTTCTGCTTCTAATATAAATAACTAAGACAATATAATTTTAAAAACATACAGCTCGCTACCCTGAGGGACAATCCTCCGTTTTATTAACATCGCATCACTATAACGTTGATATCATGGACTAAGCAATAAATAGCTGTTATAAATGAAATTAGGGGGGTTGGATGGCCGAATGGTTAGCATGTGCTCACTCTATCATACGGCCTGTCATTGAGTCAACTGGCATGGTTTCGATTCCCTGATTGTATGTGACAAGGAGTAGGGTCGCCTGTCCAACCTCATATGGGTTTTCTCCAGGTCCTCCGGTTTCCTCCCACTGCTAAAGACCCCTACACGTAAGCGAATTATTGAAATAAAGTTGAACAATGTGTTAGTCTTGAAATGACCTAGTTTGTGTCAAGTGGACGTTAAACCCCATCTCTCTCTCTCTCATAAATGAAAATATAAGACACTAATTGATCAAAGTCTTCATTTTATATACATGATGTGTATTAGTTAGTTAAAATTGTTAGTAATCAGGCAGTAGTCATTAAGTAGGTGTTTTGTCACTAACGTGTTAAAACTATGACTATTGAATTATACACACCAGTATTGTCCATCTTTGTGTATTCAATAGCGATGGGTGTTATAAATAGTCACGCCTTTATTTACACCAGTAATGACATCTTCTACAGCTAGTTACACAACTGCTAATTAATGACAACTGTATAATTTTTAACCACCTTTAATACATACTACATGTAAACATTAGTTTAGAATACTGATCACTTGTATTATTTAATGGTCACAAAACTTGTCATTACTGAAAGGCCTAGCTTCATTAGTCGATAGGATCAGATTACCCGTGCATGTTAACCGACATCGAATTGACTGATCAAGCTAATTATGATAAAGGAGCATGATTGGAGATTAGATAAAGAGCGAACAGTTCTCTCTAGTGGTCTAGAGTGTCACGCTTCGACCTCTAGTTGGCCGGTCACCTCTGGCTTGCGGCTGTGGTTTCGATCCCAGGTGTGAGCGTATGTGGCCTGGAGATAGGGGCGCCTTCTCAACCTCGTGGGTTTACTCCGGGTACTCCGGTTTCCTCCCACAGCAAAGACCCCTGCGCGTGCGCTAAGATTATTAAAATGAACTTGTCTGCGATATCACCTTCGGTGGAAGCGGACGTTAAACGCTAAGAACAACAACAACTCTATATTAGTTCTATTAAAGATACATTATAGACGATTTGATAAAGAGATATAAGCGATTGAATTTCGAGCCTAGCCTCGATCATCATTACTATAGTCGGTACGATAAAAAACAGTTTGACGTTAAATCATCCATCACAAAATGTATTCAAATCCAGTAAATATCTCAGGCAAGCGATGCCATCAAGAGTTGATTATGGTCTTGTTTTGTTAATAAATGTCTAATTAATAATTTATATAACATTTCAGGCCTAAAGAAAGACCTGCAATAGGCAGATTACCTCTTGTATAACGTAGTTTAGTTATATTCATCTGTAATAGAAAGATTTAGCTCTTGTATAATATATGTTTAGTTATAAGAATCAGTATATTCATATTATTTATCATTTGATAAGATGTTGTCTTGTAAACTTTCATTTTATAGCATTTTTTTATTATTTTTTTATTTTGAACACACATATTTTTTTATGGATCACTGCTCTAGTGAATTATGACAGTCTTGTTTGAAATATCGTCTAAAATTAACTCATGAATAAATTAAACTACAGTTCTACAATCATAATTAATAATTAAAAAGAGTAACATAATATGATTGTCAACATTTAGGGAGAGGGGTTTTACATAGGCTAAGCCTGTTCCCCAATCCCATTCAGTCAACCTGAATAAAAATATGGTTTAAAAAAACAAAAAAAAAACCCAATCAGACGAGAGAGAGGTTATCCCCCCTTGATTAAACATACAGTTATTTTATACAGCTAGCGAGGTTTGATGGCCGTATGGTAAGCACCTGAGTGCTGTATCATAAGGCCTGTCATTGAGTCAACTGGCATGGTTTTGAATCCCCAGTTGTACGTGACAAGGAGTAGGGTTGCCTGTCCAATCTCGTGGGTTTTCTCTGGTTTCCTCCCACTGCTAAAGTGAATTATTGAAATAAAATTGAACCATATGTTAGCCCTGAAATGACCTAGTTTGTGTCGAGTGGACTTACACCATTTCTCTCTCTCTCTCTCTCTTTCTCTCTCATTATACAGCTAACCATAGAACTAAAGGGATCAATAAATCTAATGTTTCTAGATAATCCTCTAACATTGTTCGAGTCAGGAATGAGGAAATCATTAAACCAGATTATCTGAGATCTGAGATTATGCCTCGTATCTCGTATTGTATGAGATGATTAAACACTATTTCTCGAATTAATATTTATAAAATAAAATGAAATGGTGTTTAACTTAAAGGATTAAGTCAGCCAATAGAGAGAGAGAGAGAGAAGAGAGAGAAGAGAGAGAGAGAGAGAGAGCATCCACTCAACACAATCCAGGTTAAACAATCCAGGTTAAAGGGGAAATTGCAAATTTTTAAGTTATAAGTTATATTTTTAAAATTTATTAAAATAAAGCCTGAAAATAGATGGTATCCATAAACAGTCCTACCTTGTTAAACCCCATTTCATTTCATTCCATTTCATTTCATTAACTCAGCTGGTGCAGAAAGCTAGTACGTTAAAGTTGCAATTGCAAATTTTCAAGTTATATTTTTAAAATGTATTAAAATAAAGCCTGAAAATAGAAGGTATCCATAAACAGTCCTACCTTGTTAAAGAATAATCCTATTAATCCTATAATTCACTACTGCCAGTTGA